GGAAGAAAGTGCATAATCGCCCACTGCTTGCCGTGTTTTTAAGAATTGCACATACACGGTATCATATATGTACACGTCAACCTATTTTTACTTAAAAAAAATATCCCACAATTGCACAAAAATGGCATTGCGCACACTCGACTTTATCCATGTACACTGCTAAAGTCCTAGCTAGTAACCTTTATCGCCTTACCAAAATGTCGCAAACTACCTGTTACCATATTCCAAAGATTAGCCATATTTTTTTACCAAAGGAATATTACCTTGCTGCATGTGAGCCCTCATATACGTACATTAATAATTTTCTGCTGCACAGAGAAATAAAGCAAGTAAAATTTACTACACAATACTCTTTACAACTTGAGCTTTACTTTTCTCTCATTTATTCAGCTTTTCATTTATTCAGCTAACGCAATTTCAACTAATGCACGATTTTGGCCAAAATGCACAATTACAAGTCAGACTCTCACTTTTAAATTGAATACATATTTCTCATAATGCAAGTGGAGATATTTTTAAGTGTCATTTCCTGTGCATTTTAATTAAAAGGAAATTTTTAAGTTCGACATTTGTTCATAAATCTCTAGGTTTATATGCATAATGAAATAGCAATGATTCTTATTTGTTCATAAATCTCTAGGTTTATATATAATTAAATAGCAATTCTTGCAAATTTATCTTAGTTATTTTGATAACATTAATACTATACATAACTATTTTCCTCCCCCAGTATAAATAAAATGGAAAATTACTTTAACAGCTTTGATTATGACTATATTTCCAGTACAATACATCAGGGTCAAATTTCATATTAGTAAGAGTTGCACTGCAATACTCAAGCAGCAATTAGATTTAAAAAGAGCTACAAGAACTAGATATTTATATCATTTTAAAAACTGTAAAACAATTTTCAAATAATAAGAAATATTTCAAGTAATTTAACAAATATAGTTTTTTAAAATTAATATGGTTATTTAATATAAAAACAAATAAAATTACTCTTGGTTTATTTTAGTCTGATTATGGTAAACCATGCAAAAGCTATCATTTGCCTATGGGAAGATTGAGAGATGCCTACGATGGAAGATTGAGAGATGCCTTCACAGATGACTTTCTAAGGAAAACTGGCTCTATGCTATACGTGGGAAAAACCACAACACCCATGCAGCCTATTCAAAACAACTCAAGTGTTCAACGACTTCACCGCTTAGCTGCTAGATGGCTAATCTTGGCTATATTTACGCAAAGATTTTCCAAGATACACACAAATTTTAAACTTTAGTACAATGCACTGATCACTCTCTTTTCAAGCATACATTCTCCTTTCACAGAAAACAAAGCATTCTCTTCTACATTCCAAAAATTTATTTCTTTATTTTAATTCTCAACTGATTTTAATAACAGTAAATTAACAAAAGAAGACATAACTTTCTTTACAATTATGTAAAAATCTTCACATATTTAAAAGCTTTTAAGAGAAGAATAACAGAGCGATTTGAAAAACAGAATTAGCAATTTTCCTTAGTTCTAAAATAAATGGGAGAAAAAGCACTGTACAGAGGTACTGCAATTGTATATATATAAATAATTTAAAAGTCATAAACTTAAAAATAGTTTTACATTAAAAAACAAAGAATAAAAAAGGGCACATGGAGAAACTGCATTTTGATGAAAGAAATTTATTTAAAATAAACTGTCGGCTTAGCACAATTTTTGAATAAAAAATAATAGTTTAGTTTCTCTACACAGCTAATAAGAGGACCAATACGCAGAGCTAAAAATAATGCTAAAAGATTTATCTAATTTGTTAAATGCGAGTTGGATAATCATGTTAATATAATTAAACATAATCCAGATAATCAGAAAGTATGTTTCTTTTCTTTCAATATCCAAGTTCAACAAAGCATATTCTTCGTGTCTTCAGTAAGATTTTAAGTATATCATCAATGTAACATGCGGTTGATCTTTACATTATGGTAACTTGGCGTTTTTTCGGCGAAAATTTGGCAACCAACTCTCTTACAGCAACCCTCTATTTTTTTTTCCCGCCGCCATTTTGTCTTCACGAAGTAAACACATGTTTCTTTTCTTTTTATCTACTGAACACTTCTTCCAACAATCTACTAGCCGAATTACACTTATGCAAGAAATTTTATCTTAACAAAACTGCTTAATCATGACAAATATTCACTGCAAAATTGGGAAAAAGTGCACAATACCATACTCCTTACGCGTTTTTCAAAATAACACATACACATAAACCATGTACACGCCGACTTATTTTTACTTAAAAAACATCCCAGAATTGCACAAAAATGGCATTGCTCACACTCTTCCCTATATCCATGTACACTGCTTTTTTCTCTTAAATTAGAAAAATTTCACGAAAATACATGACAATTTTCTCAATCTTTAAACCCGGTAAAAAGAACATATATGAAATTACCTGATCGCGAAAAAGTATTTACCCTTTCCAAATATGAACATTTCCACATATAAAATAAATAAAATATCCAAAAACTTTTACCTCTAAATCATCTATTACATTATACACGTCACCAACGAATTCATACCGCAAGCATTACAAATACTTAGTATCAAATATTTAAATTATTTCCATGCACGTTTACTTCAACTTAAACGTATACCAAATTCCTACAAACATAAAATTCACAAAATAACTATCATTTAATTAAAATATCACTAAACCATGTACACGCCGACTTATTTTTACTTAAAAAAACATCCCAGAATTGCACAAAAATGGCATTGCGCACACTCTTCACTATATCCATGTACACTGCTTTTTTCTCATAAATTAGAAAAATTTCACGAAAATACATGACAATTTTCTCAATCTTTAAACCCGGTAAAAAGAACATATATGAAATTACCTGATCGCGAAAAAGTATTTACCCTTTCCAAATGTGAACATTTCCACATATATAAATAAAATATCCAAAAACTTTTACCTCTAAATCCTCTATTACATTATACACATCATCAACGAATTCATACCGCAAGCATTACAAATACTTAGTGTCAGATATTTAAATTATTTCCATGCACGTTTACTTCATCTAAAACGTATACCAAATTCCTACAAACATAAAATTCACAAAATAACTATCATTTAATTAAAATATAATTAAATTCAAAAACACTACTTAAAATATAAATGAGCACATACATTAAATTAATACATACATAAATACCCATTTTTGAATTCACTTTAGTTACGGCCATTGGGATCCAAAAATTCACGAACACTGTTTCACACAACACGGAATAAAGCCAAATACAAAATTTCCAGATTTTTTCCCCGATTTCCCCCCTTTTCCGATTAAAGAACCGTAATTCGTCCATTAATATCACATGACATATCCCACGATCTCTCATTTCCCTCACACAAAATAATGCGTAATCGGAACCGAGTACTGCTCACATTATTACCAAAGTCCCAGGTAGTAACCTTTATCGCCTCCAAAATGTCGCCAAACTACCAGTTACCATATTGTAAAGATCAACCTAACATGCAGCTAATATATCTGTCTTTTATGATCTTTTATTTATCAAGTATGATACACTTATTTTAATGACATTTTAAACTTATTTAAAATATTAAAAATTTTCAATTTATTATGTTGTTAGCTATAATAGCAAAGCTATTTTTCTCATTCTATACAACTCATTCCCAGAAACTCATTTCAGTTATAAGCCTATCAGCTTATTTCTCTACCTGAACAAATTAAATATCCTATCCCATCTACATCAGGTAGAAAATGTATAGCAGCTGAATGAATTAAAATACACTCTGGATAAAAGAAGAATATGGCTGAATATATTTACAAATTTTATATACCATGTCAGATTATATATCACCTGGTATCCAAGGCATATCTTAGAAATTAGAATTAAAAAAAAAATTTTTTAGAAAGCAGATAAGTAATTATTATTTGAATGGAATTTTGGCAGTAATCAGCTTACCTCTAATGGAATGAAGTATTTTTGTATATATTGTATGTAATTAGCCAGGAGCTTAAATCCATCTTGCTAAAAATTCCGATAAATATTAAAATAAAGAAAATACTAGAACACAAATATTATATATTCATAAGCTTCATTATCTGGTACTTTCTGAATATCTTCGTTCCTGTTTCAACTTTTCACAGAATTCTTAATTTTTTGGTGTATTTTCAGGTTATACACAGAGTCATAGCTAGGGTTTTCAGCGCTCAGGTCCAAATGAAGATTTCGCTTGCCAAGGATGGAAAACATTTAATTCTAAAATGCCGTAACATCAGTTTGGCGCCCCTTGGATTCTGTGCCCGGGGACAGATGCCCCCCTTGGCCCCCTCTAGCTACGCCCCTGGTTATACACAATAACAATAATCTACACATGTACATACCTTACATTTATATGAGTACACACAGATTTACATTCAATATGTAATGGTCATTTCAGAAAACAAAAAATCGACTGGCTGTAAAAATGTAAATATTAACTACTTAGATTTTTGTTTTTCCTCACAAAATGGTATTTCTTAAATCACTTTTTATTATTATTTATAAAAAGAGCAGTACCTATGAGATGTAAAGATAGTCAAAGAAATGTTCTCTGAGAATTCATAAAACTGTCAATGAGTTACCAACTTTACTTGGGGGTACAGATAATCAGAAAGTAGGCATTCTTTTAATTTATAACAAACATAAATTTCTCAATAAAAAGATTAAAATAATATAAATCCTAATAGAAATATATAATTATTAAATAACTGTTCTAATAATTCCTAATATCAACAAAAATTCCATTGCATTGCAGAATATGTCGAAACAAAAAGATTATTTCCACACAATTCTCATAAACAATGCCAGTTACTTACAGAAATTTAAGAATATATCAAATACAGCACATAAAATCAGTTTAAAACTCAGTATGCTTGTATTAATTTTATGTAGGGAAAACACTGAAATCTAAAAGAGAGTGCAAAATACATTACATTGGTAAAAGTACTCAAATACCATACATTTCTGTCAAACTATATTTTACAGATCTCATTTACTAGCCATTCATTTGGAGCTGCGCGATGTACAAGCAGCCGAAATCTGCAAATACTACTTTTTAAATTCAAAACCTTTTCACGTATGGCAATACTCTTGTTAAAAAAGAAAGTCCGATTTTACTCATTTCGCTCGAACATAATTATTTTATAGCTAAATATTAGTACCTAATATCTGAAACCATTTATCATTATTAAACAAACTAAAAATAAATATTCATGCAGGATTATGTTCTTTTTCTTCAACATATAAGGAGTGTCTAGTAAATATACAGATTTTATGCCTATAACCCATAGACAAAAGTTATTCAGTTTAGTAACCATTCCACGCGTTGAATATGGTGCGGACATATTTTAAAGTTGTTACTCAAGCGGCCTTAGTCTACACCTACGATTTAATTTTATGTATTCCCCCCCCCTCTCAAACAAAATTGCGCGCTTTATATTTGTCTTTCCTTCGCACCTAAGCTTGATTTTTCGCCCTGCGGGCAGAAAGACTTAACGGGGTGTAAAACAAGACATGTGTTTACTTTGGCCGTGGTCTCTGTTGGTAATAGAAATAGATGTTCTAATATCATAGCGATGGGAGGGCAAAGCAAACTCCCATAGACGCAAAGTAAATATATTGATACCGTTGGCTACTCACCGAGTCTGATCTGAGAATTTCGTTCTTCTAATATCAAGCAAATGCATGAAAAAGTCCCGGTGGGTGCATCAAACACAGTACTGAAATGAATGGGGTAATATAAAGCTGATAATGTATCGGAATGAGGTGAGGTAATGATTGTTAGGCTCGTATTTGATTGCTTCTGATGTAAACAATCCGAACTTATATGTACTGCGGCCTGCGGTCTATCTCCTAACCACCTATGCGTTATGTTAAGGGGAAAGCTAAGCGCTTTGGTAAGTTTCGCCAGCCTGGCCTGTAATTTTTCAAGTACCAAATCATGTAATTTCTTGTAATGCTAGTGCTTTTAAATATTATTTTATGTTAAAGTTGGTCAGATACAGTATAATATAAAATTACATAACTATTTTTAAGAGAATTGAGTTCAGTTTGGAGCTACAAAATGTAATAAATGATATGTAAGATGGGAAGCACTTCCGCAGAGAACCCGGTAAATGTAAACATCGCCAACTTTGGCGGTAATAGTTCAAACCTGGTAACCCAACGGATTTGTCCTATTCCCTAGTTCGAAGTTTGCAACCATTCCTCTTGCGTTTATTTTGTTGAATTATCACTGTCGTTTTTCGCATTTGCAGATTTATATTATTCTTCTCTTATTTATTATTATTTTTTCTGAATTTTTTAACACGAATAGTAAAATTTCATAATAGATGCGGTTTCGGTTCGGGATAAAGGGGGAATGAGAGCACTCCGCAGAGGATCCGTTAAATGTAAACATCGCCAAAATTGGCGATAACAGTTCAAAGTTGGTAACCCGGCGAATTCGGTGGTCGTAGGTAGCAACCTGATTCTTCAAACGCTTAGACAACGAATCTGTTCTCGTATGTTCTGTGCGTGCTCCGTTTTGCCGCTGGCTGGTGGTGCATCACTACCGGATGAGCAGGTGAAATTGCGGCGGAGGGGGGGGGGCTTATTGATAATTGGTAACACGCCTGTTTAGAGTAGTATGACTGTGTTCTTAATAATTAAAAGACTAAACACTCAGAACCATAGGGTACCCGAGTCCTAAAACATGATTAACGTGGGCCGCAATAATATAAGGTTTTAAATAATTAACTAAAGTTTTTATTTTTATTACTCTTATTTTTATCTAAAATAATAGGAATTACATCACTTTTCATGCTTAAAAATTTGACATATTTTTAATGTATCTTAGCAATTACCTTTCAGAAGATGCTAGGTGTTTATATATGATAGATGATTAGAATGAAATAAAGAAGTAATAATGAATAAAAAAAATTATTGGTTCTCTGAGATGAGATTTAAAAAAAAAAAATTAAGATTTTTTATTGGTCATCAAAGTTAGTAAACCACTGCTTTGAGTAATTAATCAAAGTTTGACTTTTGAAAGATAACAAAATGTATAATGTTCTTATAGTTTTATTTACAATGCTACTCTAAAGGATTTGAATATTATTGAAGATTCTTGGCAATGTCCAGTTTATTGTGAAAAAGGCAGTTGTTTTTCAAAATAAAATATTTTAAGCTATCAGCAAGTAAATTCAAAAAATAACTTTGAAAATTGCTTGCATAAAATGGATATTTGAAATGTATTATTCTGTAATGAATCCATTAATCTATTATATGTACAGTAGCACTTAACATATGAAACACAATTTTGGGAATATTGACAAGCAAAGCACTTAATGAAAAAGACACTTTTAAATGTACTAAAATATTAGTATCTGTATGAACAACAGAGAATATATGTAATGAATAATACCATGACCAAATACCTATATAAACAAAACAAAATTAAGTATTCTCATCCTCGACACTTGAAAAAGTAATCCTGCTGTGCAACATTTAGTGAATTTCTGATTGCATGATATTGCAAGCATTTTGTTAGATTTTTCCTACTAGTGCTTAAGACCATTGAATACTGGTAGTTTGATCTGTGTTCATATCATGGTTAAAGGGCTGGCTGCATGGTTGATTTTTTCTAGTTTTCCTCATATGTAATGCAAATACAAGCCAGTTTCCCTTAGAATGTTCATAAAGGCATCCTTCTTCAGGTCAACAGCTGGTATGCTTTGCCATATTCGAATAACCTAAACTTTCCTTCAGATTATACATTGAAAGGTTATATCTGTAGTAAGCAGGACAATGATCATTCAGCTTCTATCCGTGTGGAAGGAGTATATTTAAAACATGTCAGAACCATGGGATTCATAACAAAATCGACCATTAATCTTGAACATTTTATCAAGTGTGCCGTTTTTCTTACGTTATGGGTTTCACTAACAAGATATTCATACTTTTGTTCAAGTTCACAAGCAGTTCAGCAATACAGTTGCTGGATACTGGTAGTTTGACCCTAGTTTGAATCTTCAGTACTCAGTATCTTGGGCCATCACACTGTCATGGCCCCTAAAGCTATTACTGCTTGGCATAATATAAGCAAAGCATTTACGACTCATTTATGATACAACATTCTGAGAAGTGTTTCATCTGCCTTTCTCATACACCTGAATGCATCATTCAAAAGAAAATGATGTTTGCTGCGTTTTAATTTCATCAGGCCTGATGAAAGGTCTAGAATGCTGCAAGTGCTGGTTTTTTCCCACATCTGTTTTAAGGAGAAATAATTTCAGCGATATCCTGGAACTAGAATTATCCTAGTTTACATATGAATTTGTCAACAGCATATGCTATTTCCTAAAAATCAATGAAAATATTGCTTTTTTCATTCTCATTTTGGATATTCTAAAATGCAGTAATGTATACAGCATTGATTTACGTCCATTTTAAGGTAAATTTGCTGATCATTTCTTATAAGTTTCCAAACATCTTTTTAGAGATGGACTTTCTTCTTTCCAAAGTGAAATGTGTGTCAATACAATTTATTTCAAATGACTATGGCATGACATCTAGTCTTCACTTTGGCATTCATGTTTGTTTCATTATTTTACGGAGACATTGCTATTTATTTTTAAGTGTTTTTAATGTGTTATTGAAAATATTTGTAATATACGCATTTACAAAACTTTGCACTGACCAGAGATATAAAGTTAGTCTTCAGTTAAAAGACTTGTTTAGGATTGTGTAAAGTTGAACAATTACTTTGTTTATATAAGTTGAATAGGAGACTGTTGTTTTATGATTTTTTTTTTTTTTTTTTTTTTTTGTAATGTTGGATAGTTTCCACACAGCTTTGGGAATTTTCTTCATTTGATTATCTCTATGTAGTTGAATAGAAAAATATTTTTGAAATTATCAAAATAAATAAGTTATCTATTTTGGAGATTAATTTTGATAACCAGCATTTTGTAACAGCATCATGTTCTTAGCATATGCTAAGAATATCGTCAAAAGAAAAGAGTCAACCAACGTGTGCAGATCTGTGATAAATTTTACTACTTTTTGTTATTCCCATGTATATGTAGTTATATAATGATTTGAACAACTGTAATTTTGGAACACTGAGAAACAACTGCTTCAAGTGATTGTTAGACTGTAACTAAATTACTTCAAGTTGCAAATGTGGTCTCACGGCTTCATAGTTTATATTGCAAGGCATGCTGAAAATTTCTAGTTACATTTGAATTGCATTGAAATCTGTGTTTAAACTCAAAATCAGACTCAAAATGCAGGTTTTTTTTTCAGGCTATCTTCATAACTATTGCATTTTGACATTTAAATTGTTCATATGACAAAGAAATGTGAAAAATGCTAAGTTGAAAACCATGCTGTATCTTAATATAAATTAAATCCTGTGACTAATCACTTACTAGTCCTGTGAAAATTTGCAAATATGGACTCTGATTTTTTGTGATTGCTTTCTAAATTAATTGATGCTATATATTTTAAAATTTCACACTTTACAGAACAATGTTTCTCATTGAAGAATGGCACAATTTCGTTAATCAGTTGCCAAACTTTCTTTCTCGAAAACACATCTTGCACTAAGCCATCTTACTTTTGTTTTGTGTAATACAGCACATGCAAGTATTCAGATTTTAAGGGCTTAAGTAAATCTCGTAATTCCCTGTGGGTACATCAACAAGATTGAATACTATTCCCAAGCCTCATGGTTACATCAAGCACAGGTTTAATGTTCAATGGAAATTTAAACAGACCACTTGAAAATAGTTAAAATTTCCACATTCAAAAAAAAAAAAAAATTACCTTTCTTCATTTCGTTACATTATCAGTAATTCTCGCTTTCTGGGGAATTTTCAGTGGGAGATCTAAATCTTGTTATACTTATCTGTGTTCATGATGTAACAAAGTCGATGAGCACAGTATACATGTCGATGAAGTGAGATAACAGATATCTATGTGAACTCATGTTATGCGCAAATCACGTGATATTCCTTTACGTTTTATTTATACAAATACAGTATACATTGTATAGCCAAAACAAAAATGAATATATATTTACAATATACATTATGTATTGCATAGTAAAATCCTAAATATATTTTGATAATTTGCTGAATAGAATATCTGTATAGATCTATATAGAAGCTTTAAACAGGTAGTTGTTCACTGGCCATAGTTTGTCCATCTTGAACTCAACTTTCGGATTTGATAGAGTGAGATTGTGACTACATTTTCAGTAACTTATTTGATAAAATTATGATTTGAAAATTCAAAATAGATTTAAAATCAGAAG